GACGAGAGGTAGTGAGACGAGAGGTAGGAAACCAGAGGTAGTGAGACAAGAGGTAGTGAGACGAGAGGTAGAAGACGAGAGGTAGAAGACGAGAGGTAGGGGACGAGAGGTAGAAGACGAGAGGGAGGAGACGAGAGGACAGCAGCTGTTTTAGCTCTTCAGTAAGACACCTGTGATGAGGTACGTGTGTGTGTCCGTCCCCACCTGTGATGAGGTACGTGTGTGTGTGTCCGTCCCCACCTGTGATGAGGTACCGTCCCCACCTGTGATGAGGTACGTGTGTGTGTGTCCTCACCTGTGATGAGGTACGGGTGTGTGTGTCCTCACCTGTGATGAGGTACGGGTGTGTGTGTGTGTATATGTCCTCACCAGTGGCGGGCCGTCAGGGCCAGCTAAGCCTTCTCTGCTGGCCTAAACAGAATCACAAAGTTATAGCTATTTTATAATTTTTCATAAATACACTACATGTATTATAATTTTTTTTCTCATTATCTTATTTTCTCATTGCACAGCTCCTGTGTTCCTCTGTTGCTCTGCTTCCAGCACAGTTTGTTCAGATTCAGCCTCTATGTAAGGAGAGAGGCCCGAGGTCCTCTAGGTAGACTTTGCAGTTTAAGTGAATGTTGATGATATTGTTGATTGTCATAGTCTTCAACCAATCAGGTCTTTAGTTTGACATGTTGGGCGTATTCTTTGACGTGCCAGTGGTACTCAGGTAGCCTCCTAAGTACGTCTGCATTAACGTGCTCCGTGATTGGTCAGTGGGCCAGCGTGACTTTTGTCAAACAGGAAGCTAGCTAGCAGATCTTAGTGTTTAGTAAGAGTTCAGGTTGAAACATATGTAACTCATATGTAACTCATGTGTAACATGGAACTCATTACAAAACACACTCAAACTAACAGCTCTCACCTCTCTCAACATGTTCAAACATAAGCTGCAACAAGTTATAGTTGACTGCTGTACTTGCTGACCAGCCCTCACTTCTCTTTCTTTCTTCCATTTTTTTTACTAATAACATCCAGTAATCTGCCTTTTATTTTGTACATAGTGTTTATTATTTTATCTAGGTTGTTTTTAGTCATTTTTCCATTGTTTGTTATACTGTATTGTATCTGTGTTGTTTGTGTAACTTGTGTGGACTGTGCTACTGCCTCTTGGCCAGGTCATCATTGAAAATGAGAATTGGTTCTCAATTGATTTTACCTGGTTAAATAAAGGTTAAATAAAAAATAAAAATAAATATGTAAGAGAAGTTATGACATTTTTAGCGTTTTGCTTGGTGTAGATTCTTTTTTATTTACCTAGCTGTGTTTTTAACAGTCAATTGCTAAAGGAGGAGATTTCTGGAGAAGGACATTTCCAGAAAAACTGGTCATCGTATCAAAGCTTCGGCCAACCCCACAGCTAGCAGCCCTGACCTAGCATGGAAAAGGATTTGTACGAACGGTATTTCTGTCTGACAGCGTTGGAGAAGCGTTGCACATTGTATGGCTAAGAATGCGTTTCATTTGCAACTGAGCTCTTGGTGTTTGGAGCTACGCTATGCTAACCAAGGCAGCTACACAACAGGACACGCACAAGCTACGTGCTTTTGAAAACCTTTGTACAACCGTCTTTAAGTGAACATCAGCTGTGGTAAGTCAACTGCTTTCTACTGTGTTCATTTGTCTGTCGTGTTGTTTTTATGAATAATATAAATGGCTTGTGCTCTAGCGCCGCAGTGTTGCTGGATTGATTTGTTGCTTTGTTGTCATATAAATATATGTGACTGGTTCTTGTCATTGTGTTAATTACATTGATTTGGACTATATGCATTGCCCGTTAATGACGAAGCATCCCGTCATGCGTGGGGTTATTGTCCGGACACTTGAATCCGTTCGGGCTGTTGTTTCCCCGCTAAGCTAGTTAGCTTAGCCCCCCTGAAGACAGGTGCGGTGCCTCCGCCTAAGCTGTGTTTTGTTATTGTTCCGGGTTTAAAAGGTCACAGCCCGTTGTCTCCTACGTGAGAGCAGTCCAACGAAAACATTATATTTCCCTCAATTTAAGCTTCTGCATTTTCCAAATGCACTAGTATTATTCAAACGTATTGTTCGGTCCGTAAGCCTCGTACCGAACGGTTTAATACGAGTACGTGTATTATTACACCAATAGAAACAAATAACTGTAGCTGTGGCGTCATAATGAGCTTATTAGGAGGTGTTTCAGCTGCAGGACAGCACTGAAGGCCCAGGTATAAAATGCACGGCCCGCCACTGGTCCTCACCTGTGATGAGGTACGTGTGTGTGTATATGTCCTCACCTGTGATGAGGTACGTGTGTGTGTATATGTCCTCACCTGTGATGAGGTACGTGTGTGTATATGTCCTCACCTGTGATGAGGTACGTGTGTGTGTGAGTGTGTGTGAATGTCCTCACCTGTGATGAGGTACGTGTGTGTGTGTATGTCCTCACCTGTGATGAGGTACAGGTGTGTGTGAGAGTGTGTGTATGTCCTCACCTGTGATGAGGTACATGTGTGTGTGTGTATATGTCCTCACCTGTGATGAGGTACGGGTGGGAGTGTGTGTGTATGTCCTCACCTGTGATGAAGTACGAGGGTGTGTGTGAGTGTGTGTGTGTATGTCCTCACCTGTGATGAGGTACGGGTGGTTGCAGCACTTGCGGAGCTCCATCATGGTGTTGATGAGGTTGGGCATGTTGTGCTGGTTGGCTCCTCTGGACAGGAAGGAGAAGTTCTTCTCTAAGATGGCTCGGTAGTACTTCTTCTGGATGTTGGTCAGCTCCACCTGCAGGATCACCACCAGGATGAAGAGGTTTAGAACTTGTTTTCTCATCCACTATAACTAAAGATCATACTGGAACCATCACACAAACACCTCCAGCTCTTCTTGCTCAGAGCGATGAGTTGTGATTAAAAACGTGTTACTAAGAAGAATAAATAAAAGATTGGGAGGACAGAGAACCTGTGTGCTCAGTGGTCTCACCTCGATGATGGTCTCCTCTTTAGGGGCCAGGTTCTTCTCTACGTCGTCCTTCAGTCTTCTCAGCATCATGGGCTTCAGAATGGCCTGAAGCTTCTTCACCTGGAGTAGAGAACACAGGAGGAGGGACATACATGAGACATGCAGATTGTCTTCTTGTCCTTCTCTCTGTGTCCATACTAAGAGTTTTATAAATCAAGAGATGAGACACAGAGGGCCTTTCTCAATATGCGTACTTCTCTGTACTTGTGAACTCGTGGACTTGTGAAACGTCATCAGTCTCAGCCCAAGTACCGTTCCAATTCAAAGTTCACCTCGAGCCAAGCACGGTCCAAATGCCCGGATGTGGCTCGCTCCGCCCATTTTACTGTCTGTACTTGGGACAGCCAAATATCCCAGAATGCATTTTGCACCAGCAACAGGAAACAATGGCGGAGGAGACATCACACAACTGGAAGTTGAAACTTTGGAAATACTACTGTCGTTAAGGATAAGGATGTTTATTGTCATTATAAAAACATACAACGAAATTAAGTTGGCGTGTGTCAATACAGCAGCAACAGGTAAAAAATGTATAAACAATTGTACAATTACAATTACCGTATTTTCCGCACTATAAGGCGCACTTAAAAGCCTTTAATTTTCTCAAAAAACGACAGTGCGCCTTGTAATCCGGAGCGCCTTATATATGGATCAATTGGTTAATTGGTTGATCTATACTGGTTGTACACGGCGCTCTGTCAAAATGTTTCAGTACGACTGGTAAACTACAAAGCCGCACCGCTCGCAGCATTACGGCTACCGTAGTCAGGGGCGTCGCCGAAGTAATAGCGGTAAACACCGGTACTGTGCTTACTCCTAG